CTTCCCGCCGTGCGCACTAAGTCGTCAGTCCACCTGGTTGGAGGACACTGCGATCGCCAACTGGTATTTACTTTGCAGCTGGTTTTGAGGACAAATTGTAAGACTTACAACTAGCCCTCAAAACCAGCTGCTAGAAATGCCTACGTCTGTGGTGCACTTGTAATTCATTTACAGTAATTGTAAAGTAAACACTAGCAGGAAATTTCCCGGGTTAAATTTAAAATGTTCGCCTCGAAAGCTCCGTCGACCGAGTGTCCTTGGGGTAAGCCCCACGTTTGGGCTTAAAATTAAATAGGAATTTTTTAGGTATACGACCTATTGAGGTTCGCAGGGACCCGCTAGATGCAGGCAGCGCAGGACTGATAGTTGTGGCGAGGCTTGAGGGAATCCTAAGTCCAGCAGTGGATGTCTGCGGGCTGAAAGAAAAATCTGATGAAATAAATTTTGTTTAGGATGAGTGTTTGACGCTTGTTGTGTATTTGAATTACCGCCTATTTTCGCTGCTATGTCGATCGTTAGTTGACTCAAATCCAGAAAACTTCTATTTCATTAGCTCTGTTGTTTCGTGTTCTTACTAACAATGTTTGTCGAAAGTATCCATAAGCAATTGCATTGACGCCTCCGATAAGTCTGTTATATTGCAATAACTTATCTACAGTTTACCATTATACCATCCCGTATTCGTCACTCAAAATTATGTAACAGTCAGGCAAAACTTTAATTTTGTTACTTTATTTGTTTATTGTTGTTGTGACAATTGTGGAAGTGTTTTAAGCATGAAAGGCTAGTACAGTAATCTGGCCGCTATGTTAGAAGACGCTATAGCTAGTAGAGTAAAATTATCCTTGTTTTATATTTGTGCCGTATAGCGCCATCTATTGGGGACTTTGTTAAAAAGCGCTCAAATATTATGTTGTACTGTTTATTACCCTTTATTTTTTTCTGTCGAATAACATTTCGTTTTGTCCTTTGACTCTCAGACATCCCGCTGAAAAAGAATCCTATTTGTGGACCATAGTAATCAGTTATCCCCATATCCAATTTCGCGCAATCCGTCTTGTAGTTACTAACTAACGCACGAGCGTGTAAATCCACACAGATAGACAGAAAAAAGTTACACAATCGGTTATATGTTATTTATAAGCATCACCATCTACATTGCCGATACAGTTAACTAAAAATATTACATCTACCGAGACAGTTTTGTTACAGTTTTGTTGTATTGAAATTTCTCACTAGTGAGATATTTTTTTTTGCTCTGCTTAATTATATCCGGTATGTATGTATATATCTGAAATCTGTCTACGAAAACAACGTTGGTCTTTCAATAACATTTTTTGAAGTATACTTCTTTAGGCGGGTTATGAAAAATTGATGAGAGTGAAATTTTCCGATGCGCGCGCATCGTGACACAAAATTAACAGAAATGAAGTTGCCCACGGGTGAACTTTCGCGCATGTACACTCGTAAAAAAAAGTGTTATTAGCATTCATTTTTTAACGTGAAATATTTATTATTAATTATTTAATATTTAAAAAAAAAAGAAAAAATTAATAAAAATAAAGTATAACTTCTTACGCGCGTACATAAATACACGCACCCTTTTTCTATATCAATTACATTCACAGATTTATGGATTCATGTTATTATATTATTATTTCTAACGTTTCGTACTTTACAGATTTCGTGGTCACGGAAGACTGACGTCATTTTCATCGTACAAGCAGTTTTAATTTTGGCTACGACTCATGAAAACCGAAGATTATAAAATACAAATGTACTTAACATGATTGAAAACGTCATCCGCGATGTTGTTTTTAGTTGTATAATAAAATGAAACCTAATATACCTAAGTAACTGAACCAAAAAAATCAAATACCTACTTACTGGTGGTACTCTTGTGAGTCCGCACGGGTAGGTACCGCCACCGCGCCTATTTCTGCCGTGAAGCAGTAATACGTTTCTGTTTGAAGAGTGGGGCAGCCGTTGTAACTATACCGAGACCTTAGAACTTATATCTCAAGGTGGGTGGCGCATTTACGTTGTAGATGTCTGAGCACCAGTAACCACTTAACACCAGGTGGGCTGTGAGCTCGTCCACCCATCTAAGCAATTAAAAAATTACTTGTCATTAACGTTGTGAGCCGTTTGTGCGGGATTGCTACAGGGACTTAACTTGTATTTCAAAATTACTCGTATTTTTATCGTGTCGATGAAAAGATACAAATGTAGTGAAAACCAAACACTAATCAATAAACAAATGACTGAATTTGAAAATACAATCCCATATTTTTAAATTAAATTAATTTCAATTTAGAATTTATTGTCAGCCATACATAAATTATGTTTCAAATGGCCAGTATTGTGAAACAGTCATTGCATACCTATGCAATTACCTTACCTTACCTTAATTTCAACCATGGGCGTTAGGAGTGCTGAATCTCATACAAAACACTACAAAAATTACTTTTTAATATAATATAAATATTACATATTTCAAAAATATAATATTATAATATATAAGTCCCGTTTTAATCGTCGCACATCAAACTAGTGGCAGCAACACATGCAACCGATTTGATGATGTAGGGCAGCCAAGAGCCTTCGCTCGCCCATCTGCCCTGGTGAAACTGAAAAGGCCTCCGGACCACCAGTAATGCCTCAATCACAAAAAAAGCTACAGAAGATCGGTAGAGAGGATATGGGACGGGGTATTCATTAAAACCGATAAATGAACTCAAGATAAAACTATCAAATATGTTCTACTTTAATATAATTAAAAAAAAAAAAAATTAAAGTAGAACATATTGATTGAAAACTATCAGAAAGTGCAGAACGGGGGAACCTTCTCGGGCGTTGTTTTTATTGGTTTACGATAGCACATAGCGGAATAAACTTTCCTAATCACTGTTCGAACGACCGGCGTTTAAGAATAAATTAGTGCAGAAAGTTTTGTGGAAAGTAATCAACTTACCCGGATGAGGGTACTATGCTCGGAACTCTGCGAACGCAACACTAATGCTGCTACTTATTATGATCCTTAGTTTCTGATTATTTTGCAAATGTGTTTTTGGGAATGGGATACATTTACTACAATTTTTTGTTGTTGTTTATAACATTGATAATGTATATTGGGGTGCACCGTAAACACCGTGCCACATGGCGTCGCATCACGAGAGCATCGGTCTCACAGGATCCCACTCATGCATGACCACGACCACTCTGTCAAGAGTGTACGAAAAAGAAGAATATTGGGGTAAAATGGTTTGGATCTTTTTATAAACAAAAACTAGGTTTTTGTTACTGATAGAACTCTTAAAAGTTACTGGTCTACATTGTACAATGTGTGGCCGGCTGTGTGTTATCGACCTAGAATTGTATGATCCCATCTCTTCCCGTGTGTGTCATTAAGACAACTCTAAGAGATTCACTAGAGAGTGGGCAGCAGCGTTTTCTGAGGATCGTGGTAGCGTAGCACTTATTGATGCAGCCATCTATTGACAAACACCGAGCGCTTAGTTGAGCACCTAATACTAAAATTATATATTGATAGTTTCTTTTATAAGTACGTATATCAAGGAATGACATTATCACAACTGTTACATACACAATTTTGAACAGAATAGAAAAAGGATTATGCTTTATTTCCTTGGAATAATTTTGTAGCGTTTCCAATTTGTATCTCATTGTAAATGTAACATCGTGTTTCGCTGTTCCTGCACTTAATCAGGGATTTTCATATTTGTCATCTTTAGGCACAAGCATGTTTCTGAAATAGCTGATGTCCACGGACGAGATCAATCACTCACCATCTGGCGCGCGGTATTGTCGCCGGCATGGAATCGCAATATATACAGCTCTTGGGGCAGTATTATGATTTTGAAATTAATTGATTTTAAGCTAATTGTAGGTCTTCTTAGAGAAATGATTTTTTAACATAGCTCAGAATCGGATAGCAATGTAAAAAAAATAATTCATAAAAAAAATTGTTCATTCAAAAATAGCGGAGGTATTTTTGCTATTCACTTGTTAATTTATCAGTTGGATTGTTTGTTTTCTCCATTGACAATCAAACGAAATTTTCAAAAACTATAATTGATTATGGCGATACTATGGTGTGTATGCTTAGGAACATTAAAAAACAAATACAAAACTAAAAAGTTACTGTGAATAGGTATTATGAAAAATACCAACATTTTGTACCGAGACTATTTCAGCCAAAGCCTTACAACAATTTAATATCGAGGCTCTTTGTTTTATTGCACTCGCGAACTAGCAAATACGCCAAACAAAAGACAAATACGAGAATGGTCAACCTCCAGAATCGGTGCTACAATGACAGAATCCAAAAGAATAAAAAATAATAACGTTACGTTACGTCACGACTTCAAATTTCAAGAATATTTATGAAATGTATTCCATATTCAACCTCTGGAACCGAATTACGCATAGTTTTAGGATAGTTAATTTCCAGGTCTTACGATAACAGATTAAACTTACGTTAAATTAAGAGATACGGGTATGCGGGAGTGCGGCCTCGTCAGACTGCTAAGATTTCTCATCGTGTGACTACCCTAAAAACACCTTTCCACCCTAATTTCTATCATGATTACTGATCATAGTGCTGTACTAGCTAGTTAGCTGTTGGTATCATCACCCTGCCGGACCTGCTGTTTTGAATTGACTTGTAATATTTGCTTTAAGTTAATTGAAAAAAAAAAACGATTTTAATAATATAAAATAAAATTTAATTAGTGATTAATGCTATTCACGAAAGATCCAATTTTAACTCGATTTTTCTAGGTTACACGTAGGCAGAACGTGATTTTGGGGTTAGTACTAATTGATTCCGATCGATAATCGTGTACATTACACATAAACAGAAGTTAGTGATTAAATTGGTTTGAGATCACCTGTCGCGTACTCGATCAACAGGAAGGGGGTCCGGGCGAGGCACGGAGGAGCAGGACGCAGGCTGTGAGGACGCCAGTCGCCGCCCAGCCGCCCTACGCGATCCTCGCCGCCATACAACGCAACCGGAGGCTCTGCGCCCTCGGCACGACTCTATAACTTGACACTAGTTTCCATATATCGCGAGACGTAGGTCATTTTCTGGTTAAAAACACAAATCTAGTGGCACCTGTTTACGTTCGAACTGTTTAGCTGTAAACCAAATTCATTCGAAGTTAATCGTGTGCTAACAGATCGCGAAGGTTTCTTCTCTGCCCTTTCAACGTATTCCGCTGGAAGCTACGGTAAGTTTAAAGTAGAATTAAGTAGTTTAATAAAAGTGTTGCACGTGTTGATAGCTTCTGCTCGATGATCAAAACGAGTTAATCTTTCAGATTTTCGTAATAAAATAATATTCGAGTTCAAGTTTTTTGGTATATAAATAACCACAGATAGAATGTTAATGGACATTAACCCATAGACACAGCCCACTGAGTTTCTTGCCGGATCTTCTCAGTGAGTCGCGTTTCCGATCCGGTGGTAGATTCTGCGAAGCACTGCTCTTGCTAGAGCCAGTGTTAGCAACACTCCGGCTTGAGCCCCGTGAGCTCACCTACAGGTCAAGGAGAAGCTGGAATAGCCTCTCAAGGCTATCAGCATTGTTAGGAAAAAAAAAAGGTAACGGACAGTGAAATATACAAAATAATGCTTAAACAGAATCCAACTTAAGCATAAAAATATAGAACTTTGTACACTAAATATAAAGAGCAGCGACGGTAGTTACTTAGTAAAATTATGTAAAAATAATAATCTATATTAACATATAATCTAAGTTACAACATTAACGAAGATAATTTATGCACATCTTAAGTAGTTTACACGCAACGTAGCCTACGTAACGAAGGAAAACATTGGGATAAAGATAAAGAATATCGATAACGATGCCCTAAACGCTGATTTTTAATCGAGAGAGGAAATATCAGAACATACAATAAAAATATTTACATTGTTGTTTAGTTCTCTTTTCTTTTTCGCATAGTCGCTACATGTATATTTTTGTAAAACATGATAGTTTTGTAATACCGAAAACGGCGTTTGGCTTACTAATTATCATTTGTGATACTCATTTATACAGTTTGAATTCACAAGGTATGTTCGATGTGAAGGCTATTTTATAGCTAGTAGTATCGGCTATTTCACTAAAATCGCAATAAGATAACATGTTATCTCTAATACCGGTGAGTTTGCACCTTGTGAACACTATAGACACAGCCCACTGAGTTTCTCGCCGGATCTTCTCAGTGGGCTGCGATTCAGCTCTTGGTAGGGCTAGTGTTAGCAGATTCTCCCAGTTTGAGCCTGTGGGGTGACCTAACAGTCCGGGGCGTAGCTGAAATAGTTCCTTAGGCTACCAGCGAATAGGTAGAGGAAAAACCTTTCGAAGATGGGCCCTCGACATAGGTCTAGCCACGGTAAAGTGCAAAAACACAAACAGAGAGAGAGAGAGAAATTTCTCACTTCTTCAAACATTATTTAGTTACTTCGGTAAGCACGGCAAATAAAATGACTGGAGCAAGCTGGGTTGCGGACTATCTTGTTACCGGATTGGACGAGCGTATGTATTAAACCCCTGGGATACGAGGCATTACTGTCCCGTACATTTTGATACTTTACAAATGATCTTCAGGTACTGCCGCTCTATTCTTTTTTCAATGGAACAGCGTAGGAACTACCAAAATAGTGGGCCCTGGGACCGAACACGATACTGAACTGGACTTAAAACCGCTTCAGCAGGAGACTATTATAGCAGAAAGATTGACGCTTGGGAAACTATTCATTGTTTTGCGGTAAAAATAGACCGCCTCTTGGGAAACCATTCATTTTAGGGCAAAAATTGGTTGCTCATTTTTCTAGTAATTAAGAGATTGCCGCATCATGGTTTTCGGTTTCGTTTCTGGTCCCAGTTCCCAGTTGTTTGATTTTTATTTGATTTTCGGAGTCTTGTCTACTTAATCTTGTATGCTATGTGTTTTTGGTACCCTATAATAATACAATACTTTTTACACCGCTCTTACTTGACAGTTTGGAAGCGCTTGTACTTGTCTGTGTAGTTGTCGCACTATACCCACGAATTTTAGTCAAAATGTGAACAATTAGCACCGAAAAAACCTAGTTTCCTTACATTTCCAAATATACATTTTTTATTGCTTAGCTAAGTGGACGAGCTCACAGACCACCTGATGTTAAATGGTTACTGGAGCCCATAGACATCTACGACGTAAATGCGCCAACCACAGATATAAGCTCTAAGGTTTGGAGTACAGTTACACCTAAGTTACATATAAGAATAGTTTATTTTATATTTAGTAAATATATACTTATCTACATATATAGTTCTAGATGAAGGTTGAGAAGTTTATATCCTCTTCTTCTTTGATCTATATTAAACACTTGAATCTGAATTACGGGCGTCAACTCTACGTTGAGGTGGATAATTACAGAATACGATATTTTGTAGATCTACGAAATTACACTGGGAATACAAATTTTCCCAAACTTAAATATAGAGCATTGTCTACATAATATAAGGTTTTGGCATTTTCTAATAAAAAAATGTATTTATTAGCTGAATTTTGTAAAACTAGGTTACACTGTCAATAGATTCAAAATACCCTGCTAATAGTATTCCATCATGAACATGCTATACGTCACATGCCGATAAATTAACGTTTTAGATTTAACTGTGTAATTATCATGTCTGGTATAACTACCGGAAACAGACATATGTGAGAAGAACGAGAACCATAAAATTCTGAATACCTTTTCCTAGACTTTTCGTTCGACTTAAAACACATGAGACGTGTCTCGATAGCTGGTTAACGCAGTTGAACTTGTGCCTAATAACTTTGTTGAAAACTCATAGCGATTTAATTGAAAAATACCATGCGCTTTTAAAACAATCAAAGGTCTGCAAAACGTCTGCAATTCTTAAATGGATTTTCAAACAAATACGCTGAATGCAAATATGTAAATTGTATGAGTGCTTTCTCAGATTGTTTGAACGTAGATAAGTTTCAGTTAAATTATAAAGTAAATGTTCTTTTCTTTTATTAAATGTTGAATTACTCCAGGTCTCACACAATAGTCACTTTCATGTCGCAAATACGGTATGGAAAAACTGTAACTGTACTTTTGTAATTTTGTTTCAAATTTTCACTGTCACAGAAAAGCGGTATATCTGCATATACATTATAAAGATGGTATTGGGTTGTTTTTGATTTAAATTGGCAGATAGCTTTACCTGGTACTGAGTGGATACCGCAAGGCCAGTGCCACCACCACCCGTCTTGAGACATTAGGTTATAATCTTCGCCACAAAGGCAGGTATACGAAGTTTCCTTTTCGCCGTGTAGATAAGACCTTCATAAGGAGTGTAAGAATATTGGACGAGTATGAACTGCGTATTTACTTGGTTTCTGTAGAAACTTGTGTCTGCTTGCATGATTTTAACAAAGATACAGTACCATCACTTGACACGAAAACACCGGGCGTGTTACCCGCAAGGAACCGGACGCTTCAATCTGCTTTGCTCGAATCGTTTGCTAATCTGTATTTAATTGTAACTAATAAAAAAATGACATATTGGAATAAAACTATATTTAAGCCAAAATCCACTCTTTAGCAACATAATATTGGAGTTATAACTATGCTGACCGTAGCGATTTTGGTATTGCCAATTAATTTTTTTCCCCCTTTTGTGTGGTACGTACTAGAAATCTGGCACAAGCTATATTACACACTTTAGGCATGCCGAAATGTCGAAGTAAAAACTTTGTAAGCTGCTTAACTGCAACTCGGTATTCAGGCGACTCTTGCCTACGAGGTCGGTCAGTTTAATTTGTTTTTATTCAGGGCTCACCAGCAACTTTGAACTGAAGGCCTTTGTGAGACTCCGTTCTAGGACATTTTTAGTTTTATAAACATATGAACCTTTTTTGTTCTGAAATCTATATACATAAAAATGAATTGCTGTTCATTAGTCTCGCTAAAACTCGAGAACGGCTAGACCGATTTGGCTAATTTTGGTCTTGAATTATTTGTGGAAGTCAAGAAGGGAGGAAGAAGGTTTAAAAGGTAGATAAATATGAAAATGCTCGGAATTAAATAAAAATGGCAATTTTGTTTTTCCTTTGATGTGTCCCCCGGCGGACGGATTCCTTTTGTTTGTTTTAAGTTTATTTTACACAAAAGTTTAGGTCTTTTATTTATCGATTGAAGCACTACGAAGTCTGCCGGGTCAGCTAGTGCTAAATAAATTTCCTTATTATATTTAATAAACTGGCTTAATTAGCTTCAATTGGAATTGGTGACTCTTACGACGATATCACTAAATAAATTCAAAATTATCCTCCACAAATTACTAATCTTATTGCATTACACGTAATATTTGTATGTGTGTCTGTACGTAATGTAATAATCTCCCAATCAAATCGAATGTGATTTTGCGAGAGTATTAAACGAAGTGAGAAAAACTGTTGTGTAATGTATATACTAAATATTAATAATAAATTTTGAAGTCGTCGTGGCCTAAAGGATAAGACGTCCGGTGCATTCGTATGTAGCGATGCACCGGTGTTCGAGCCCCGCAGGCGGGTACCAATTTTTCTAATGAAATACGTACTCAACAAATGTTCACGATTGACTTCCACGGTGAAGGAATAACATCGTGTAATAAAAAACCAAACCCGCAAAATTATAATTTGCGTAATCACTGGTGGTAGGAGCTCTTGTGAGTCCACCACCCCGCCTATTTCCGCCGTGAAGCAGTAATGCGTTTCGGTTCGAAGGGTGGGGTAGCCGTTGTAACTATACTGAGACCTTAGAACTTATATCTCGAGGTGGGTGGCGCATTTACGTTGTAGATGTCTATGGGCTCTAGTAACGACTTAACACCAGGTGGGCTGGGAGCTCGTCCATTCATGTAAGCAATAAAAAAAAATCATAAATTTAAAATTGTTTATAGAATGATTTTTGTATTGTTATGACTATAATAATAGTAAAAACAATTATACTTGATTTCTTTTGAGAGATTCATTTGGAATGAAAAGGTCGAAGCAGATTCTTGGCTAATAAATGTTTCAACATTTGTAAGAGAAAAACAAGCTTGTTGTTCGCAAGTGGAATCAGTGACCACAAATTTTCATTTGCATGTGAATAAAGGAAGGTCTCTCGAAATATAGGCCATTATATGGAGTTGGAATCTCTGTTAAAGTATCCACATGATTGAAACTTTTGTTTTTAAGAC